AAAAAAAAAAAAAAAAAAAAAGCCTTCCTTTTCAGAAACTCACTGCTGACTGTCACTGCTTCCAATGCACTTCCAATATTCACATTGGGCTGTGTCCTCGGCCTTGGCCATGAAGAGCCCCAAGATGCACTGGGGGAGGTGGCGTGGGCTCATGGGGTGGTGGCACTGCCGTGGGCAGTCCCCAGCCATTGTGACAGGGAGTCTCCCTCTGAGTGAGGGACAGACACCCCTGGGCCTCTCGGGGGGAGAAAGGTATGCTGGGAACAGCTCCTTTATTATCATTTCCTAATTTCCCTATTGTCAGAAATATGTACATAACAAAACATTGGCCTTGTCAACATTCTTCACATGTATAATTCAGTGAAATTATGGTCATTGTCCCCTCTACCATCCCTACTATCCTATTTCCAAACTTTCCCATCATTTCGACACAAGGTCAGCGTCTGGCAAGCGGGGATTTCCCCCTTTCCTCCTCCCACCCACCCACCTTGGTAAGCACAAATTAACTTTAGTCTCTATACACTCTTTTGCTCAAGCTCATTTGTTGATTAATTCCAAGAAAACTGTTTTTAGATTTCCTAGGGTCTAGTCAAGTAACAAAAGGAGTCCTGGTGAACAAACTGCAAGATCAGCAGTTCAAAACCACCAACTGCTCTGTGGGAGGCAGGTGAAGCTTTCTACTCCCATAAAGAGTTACAGTCCTGGAAATACTTTGTCCTCTATGGTTAAATAATGCAGTGTCAATTTGAGAGGAATATGAGTGAATGGGGTGGCGTCTGGCCTGCCAATCAAGATATAGCCAATCAGGCCTTTGTGTGGGCATGGCTTTCTCCTGAAAATCCTGGGAAATATGGTTTTTTCCTCCTTGGAAGTGGAAGACTTTTCCCTTAGCTCACTCCCTTGGAGACTCACTACTGACAAGGCTGATTCCCTGAGGAGAAGCCACATGGACCTACCCTGATGCAGCCCTGAGAACTGAAGAAGCCACGTGGAGACCCCTGCCAGCGCTGAGATGCTTACAACGCCACTGGATCCACAGACTTGCTACCCAGTGGCCTGTGTTCGTCCTGCATTTGGTGTTATTACATGTGTTTCATGAGTCTGAAGAGGACTTCATAGGTTGATATCAGACATGGGCTAATGTAATGGACTTATGGCTTGGACTGGACTAGGTCGGTATGCTTTCTTAATGTACAGTTACCTTTTATATAAAACTCTCTCTTACACACATATGTGTGCTTATGAATTTGTTTCTCTAGTCTACCCAGACAGACACAGTGGCTACAAGTCAGAATCAAGGAGCGGGTTTGCTTTGTTTTATTAAAAATCTGCTACTGTGAAGACTGGTCAACTGGGGAGCTCTCTCTAAGGTCTCTGTGATTCTCTCAGGGGCTGTCAAGTCATCGAGTCCAGGTGGGGCAAGGATGATAGCACTGGGCTGCTAACCAAAAGGCCAGCCCATCAGCAGGAGAAAGATGTGCCGCCTGCTTCCGTAATGATTAACCACTTTGGAAGCCCTGTGGGGCAGCTCTCATCTGTATCCATAAGGAAGAATTGATTCGATGGCAGTGGGCCGAGTCAAGCAACAAAAAGGCCAAGCTACAGGAATTCAGTTGCGCTGGGCCATGCTGGGTGCACTAATCCAGGCAGCTGGAGTCTAGCTGAGATGATTCTATCACTCAGAAACTTGGAGCTGAGAGAGCTCTCTGCGTCAGTGTCCGTGATTGCTCTCTAGGCTCAATGGCACATTTCAGTATGGTTCACTAGAAAGAATCATCTTTGCAAAGTCCCCAAGCAGCTTTGTGACTTAGCTGACTGTCCTGATCACTGGGGCCTGGGAGGACCCGGCACTTATGTGCAGGATCCCGAAGCCAGAGGGCCCTGCTCCGAACACACCACGCCTCCCGCCCACACCAGCCAGACTGTGCTCGCCTGACCACTGCTCCTCGATGGCCCGGATCCGCCCGTCTGTGAAGCCCCACCAAAGGGCCAGCCTCTGCCACTCATTGGCCTTGAGCTGATGGTAAGCCAGGGTCCAGAGGCAAGTGCGGATGTGTCTGGTCTCCAGGCTGTGGTCTTGTTTGAATGTCAGAGTACAGCCGACTGAGAAGTCCTCCACTGCCTCCTGATGGCCTTACATTGAAAAGACTTGTATCCGATCACTGCACACATGTTCTACTTACGGTTGCATGTCAGAGTATTTATCGGTGTTTTTCTTTTCTTCAAGAAGTCCTGGCTGGGCAATGGTTTAAGAACTGAGCTGCTAACCCCAAAGCCTGGCTGCTTAAACCCGCTGGTCACTCTGAGCCCTGGGGGCCTCGTCCCTGTATGTCAGGCAGCTAAACGCAAGGGCAATAGCTGGGAACACCAGCTGCCCTTTAGGGAAAAGACGAGGGTTTTTACCCCTATAATGAGTTGGGGAGGTAGGGGGGTTGTTGTTGTTTGTTTGTTTAGAGTGACTCTGCAGGAGAAAAAAACTCTAGCAATCTGCTCCCATAGACATTACGACATGGAAGATCTACGCGTCAGGATGAGAGTTGTAGTAGGACATTCATAGGGAGCTGCCAGAGATTCAGACTCAGGGCCAGGGATACCATTGCTGAGGTCAGATGGATCTTGGCTCCGAGCAGAGAAGACCAGAGAGATGTGTACTTGTGGTTTATGGACTATGCCAAGAACGGGGTGGGCCCCCTCCTCGGTGCCCACTATGGATCACGGTGTGGCCTGCATATGCATAGCATCGGCAGCCTCCTCCGGCAGGTCCACCAGCTGCCGCGGTGTGTGTGCCAGGCAAAGGGAGAGGGCTTTCTCCACTTACCATGAATGGTGACCAGAGCTTGAAATAGGAACACCCACTGCCACTGAGTCACTGACTCAGACGCCTTGAGGACAGAGGACATTGCTCCATGGGGCTCTCAGAGCTGTAACTCTAGATGGAAGCAGACTGCCTCATCTTCCTCCCCTGGAGCGATGGCTGGGTCTGCACCACCCACCTTTTGGTTAGCAGACCAACGCCTAAACCACTGTGCCACCAGACCTCATGGGAGCTCTGAATACCCATCACTGCCTCTGTGGGTTGTAAAACACAGGCTCTTCTCCAAGCCAGCCTCAGCTCTCTCCCACCGTACTGAGTGAGCTCCCAGGGAGGTATGAAGAAGTAATCAACCCACTGGCGGGTGCTGGGCACGTCCCCTTTTTCTTTCCTCCTCATCCCATCTCGTGAAACAACTCACTCCCTCTCACGCACTGCCACCGAGGCAATCGCGACCCTCTAAGACAGGATAGGACTGACCGTGTGGGTTTCCAAGACTGTAACTCTTTACAGGAGTTGAAAGCCAGGTCTTTCTTCCACGGGGCAGCTAGCGGTTTCGAACTGCTGGCCTTGTGGATCACAGCCCAACACGTAATCACTACGCCACATGCGTCTGAAATCCCATCACCACAAGGAAAGGGGAGAGTGCAGAATGCCTCGGCGTCATCCATCTTTGCCCTATCATGTGTATTTTTTTTTTACTGCTTTGAGAAACGTGGCTGTTTGGTACGCTCCAAGATTGGGCAAGGCCAGCCCAATTAGAAAGTGCGGGAATTTAGAAAGCGCGGTCTTTTTGATAGTCAGGGGAAAGCATTCATTCACTAGCTTGTCTGACAAAGCGCTGAGCAATTTGCAGGAGAAATGGGAGCCAGCACTGGTGGAAATGAGAAAAGCAGCAACTAGCTGTTAGGAAGCTCC